TACGGGAGTAGAAAGCCTCATCTTTCTCCCGCGGAGCGGCTGGTAGTTTCGAACCGCTGACCTTAAGGTTCGCAGCCCAATTCGTAACCACTACGAGTGGTTACAAATCTGTCAGGTAACCTCAAGGTCAACAGTTCAAAAATCCCAGCCAGGAGAAAGATGAGGCTTTCTGCTCTGTAAAGATTAACAGCCTCAGAAACCCTATGCAAGATCACTGAGTCGGTATAGACTCAATAGCATACCACCACCAGGTACCATCCATTATTTCTTTTATTCCCTTTTGTGAGAATTTATTCACCGTAGCTCCTATGGTACTTAGACACCCAGTTTTAGTCAACAGTCTTCCCTCCCAAGGGTAAACTATTGACTTCTAACATCACCATTTGGAACTGACTCAGCTGCTCTTAACACCACAACCTATAAATTGTGCACATTTCTTTCTCTATGCTATACTTTGATAGAAACTGCTGAAGGGGGGAAAAAAGCTACAGAACGTATTTCAATTAGTCCCATCTTATAATTTACCTTAAAAGTGTTCTGCGAGTACATACATGGACAGATACACAGGCTGAACAGGTGAAAGGAAAAGTGGGAGTATATTCACAAATATATAAAGGTTTGAATTTGAAAGAGGATATTTATACATGGGTAAATACTGCTGTAAAGGAGCTCTGGTAACACAGTGGTTATGAATCGGGCTGTAAACCGCAAGGTCAGCAGTTCAAAACTACCAGTTGCTCCATGGGAGAAACATGAGGCTTTCTGCTCCCATAAAGATTTACAGCCTCAGAAACCCTGTTCAGGGTCGCTATGGGTCAGAAGCAACTCCACGGCACTTAACAATATTGCTGTATGCACACATGAATGTGATGTGGGCAGAGCCATAAAAACATCTTAAGATAATTAAGAGTGCCTCAAGGGACCCATGGTCAATTGGCATAACATAGTCCCAAGAAGACAATGTTCTGCTTCCTATTGTCTGGGATCTTTTTTAAAAGCTCATGAGCAACCATCCTTGGAAACCCTACACAGGGCTGCTATGTGTCAGAATCGACTAGATGGCACTTAACAATGAGTCCTGGTGTGGTGCTGTGGATTAATGTGCCAGAATGCAAAGCCATCTGAACTGCAAGGTCCACAGTTTAAGCTCACCAGTTGCTCCTTGGAAACCCTATACAGGGTCGCTATGGGTCAGAACTGACTCCATGGCACTTAACAACAAAGATGCCAACTATTGGTCTCTCCATATATAGATGAGTGATGAAACTGAAAAATGCTTGGAATCAATTAGTTGAATGGACTGACTAATGTTAACATGTGAACATCAGTCTTCACAACTCTGAGACCAGAAGAACTAGATGGTATCCAACTACTATTGCCAACTAATTTGAAAGGGTCACATTAGAAAGTACCAGATAGAATGTAAGAAAATGTAGAACAAAACTCAAATTAAAAAAAAAAAAAAAAAAAAAGACCATGCTTACTGTTTTGTTAATTTTAAAGATAAAAAATGTGTAGCGGTTTGTTTTGTGGTGATAGGGAGGAGTAAGAATGTTTAGTTGGAAAGAAAAAGCCTTAAGTGATGAGTTTTGGCTTAAGCTATTTTGTAATAATTCTTGAGCTTCTGCTACTGCTTTGTTCTAGAAGAGAAATGTAAAAAATAAGTGGGTTAGCTCAATCCTAAAGTTTTGGGGTTTTGGAGTTCTAGTGTGGCGCTGCTGGTTAATGCTCTGAACTGCTGACCTATATGGTCAGCAGTTCAAGCTCACCAGTTTCTCTTAGAAACCCTATACAGGATCCCTGATTCAGAAGCAATGCTACTTAAAAGCAACTGTCAGAAATAGATTGTATGGAGGAAACCGAGACTATATTCCAATCTTACCAAGATTCCCTTACTCTTATTAAAAATAGCAAAATAAGCAGGAACAGAAGCCCCACACTAACACACATGAAACAAACCACTGTGGAAATAGAAATAGCAAACCCCAAAACTTTAGGATTGAGCTAACCCACTTATTTTTTACATTTCTCTTCTAAAACAAAGCAGTAGCAGCAGCTCAAGAATTATTACAAAATAGCTTAAGCCAAAACTCATCACTTAAGGCTTTTTCTTTCCAAGTAAACATTCTTACTCCTCCCTATCACCACAAAACAAACCACTACACATTTTTTATCTTTAAAATTAACAAAACAGGCTAAGAATTAGTTTAGAAAGAACTAGCTATAAAGCTAATAATGATCAAGGGCAGATTTAGCATTTAGACAGGCATTGATTACTTGGGTAAAAAAGTATTTAAATGGTATGACAGGAAGCCAGATGAAGCTCACAGAAACAAAACCAGTTCACAGGTAACATCAAGCTGGTCTAAAATAACCAAAGGTGAAGTGAGTCTCTCTGGTGTTTTTTTTTAATTTCCTTTTTTTCTCCCTACTCAACTCATTTGAAAGTTATATACGCTTTTATGTTTATACCAGATTTTTCAACGTATATACCAGATTTATAATATGCATTCTTAACCAAGTCTAAATCCAAAATTATTTTCTTTGCCCTCAATTGGTGGTGGTTCCAACTCATATTGACACTGTACAGGGTTTCTGAGGGTTTAAAACTTTGCAGGAGCAGAAAACCTCTTTCTCCCACAGAACAGCTTGTAGTTTCAAACTGCTGACCTTGAGAGGTTAGCAGCCACCACCTTCAAATATAACTTTACCTCTGAACAACGCCACCACTTTTTTTTATTATTCTCAAAGACTAGCTATTAGGTTTTCATGCCGTTTCCTCCCAGGTAAACTTTTCAATAGGCAATGAAACAATGAAATCTGAAATTCTGGGATTTAATTTAGCTTCTGTGCAATTTAGTAATTTGGAAATTCCAATCTACTTCATGATATACTCAAGTGGTTCAACGTCGTCATCTTGAGTTTCCTCGTTTGTAAAATTAAGTAAATGCTGGTGAAATAAATATACTAGCATCCTCATCGGTACTATGATTCATAAAAGTCTTAGAGCACTCCTTAGAAAGAGGCAGCTAATTTGTAAAGTGCACTGTTGTTGTTTAGTGCCATCCAGTCGGCACTAAACCCAGTACAGGGTTTCTGAGGTGTGGGGCTGGTGAGCTTGAGCGGCCGACCTTGTGATTCAAAGCGACCTTGCATCCCAGCACATTAGCCCACAGCGCCACACCAGTACTCCAAAATGCTCTAGATAAGATAAAAATAAAATCAGACCCCTCTGAAAACCAGACCTACTAGACGGAAAACGGCACTTTCCCCTTCGAATTAATGAGGTACTTCCCGCTTCACTGGTCATAAATACTTTACACTTGAGTGGCACTCTACCGCTTTCAAAACAATCCTAATTTTTATCATCCTCTGGTCCTCTACACTTTGCGCTTACGACTTTCCATTCCCCAGCAACCCAATATTGCTTATTAGGGAGAAGCTGCGCGTCCTTATTATGTCTCCTTTAAGCAGTGAAGTCTCCAAGACAACATCCCCGAAGTCTCAAGAGAACCACGATTTTCCCCACCATTGGCGGACGTACTAGAGTTCATCTAGAGTTGGAGAACAAGGTGACTAGGCCAAGAACACGAGGTAAGATGGACGACAGGGCAAGAAAACTCACAATGCCCCACCGACAAACTCCAAAACACTGGCCCCTAGGCGCCGCGGCCCCAAACAATGGAGTTTTCCCGCCGCCTCGGGCCCCGCCCCCCTGCTCCAGACCGGGCGGAGCGAACTGCAGCACGAGGCCCCGCCCACTTAGACCCCAAGGGTCCAGCCCCTTGCCTCGTGCGGCATTTTTTTTTTTTTTGGCGCCAAATCTGTCGGCTATTTTCTTACGTTACTTGAGAACCTGCCGGAGTCGCTGTCCAAAAATATGGGAGAAACGTGTGGGTAAAGCCAGTTTACCCGGGCGCTCGTCGCCTCCCAGGCGACAGTCCCACGCCAGGCGAGGAAAGAGAGTAGTCTATGGAGACAGTCGCTAAGGCCCCCAGCAAGATGGCGGCCACGAAAAGTGGGGTAGGGGGCGCCAGTCGAGTAGTTACCGCCGGTACACTGGGCTCTCAGGAAGTGGTAGGCTAGCTACTTCAGTGTCCGGACCTCCCCAAACAGGTATGGCGCCTTACCGCGAGGAAAGCCTTCCTACCCACCGGTCTGTCGTTCCCAAGAAGCTCAGGCCGCCACCCCCTCCCGCGTACTGGTCAATGCTTCAAGTGCTCCACGGCCCAGCTTACTTGTCGGCGGGAACCAGCTCTGCAGTGATGGCGGCAGTGGCTGTGCATTCTGCGGCCATCGTTCCCCTTAAGTGGCGGACCAGCGAGCGAAATAAAGCTTGCGAGTAAAGCAGAAATTTCAGGATACTAAGGACTTAGAGAAAATGGCAGATTAGAGATCCCGCGCGGCAGAGGTTGTCTTATATACTAAGGTTTTTTCGCCCCGCCCATCCATTTCCGGACCCTCCCCCTCAGGTTTAAAGGGCTAGGATTCAACTGCAGTGTCGCAAAAATATACCATACCACCGCTACCCTCAACTACCTTGGCTTTGGGAAATATCTTACCCGCCTGGCTCACCTTCTTCAAAAAAGCAACTTCCAGCTTTTCTAGCAAGTCGTGTAAGGACCGGAGCTTTGGTACTACAAATTCTGACAGGTCTCCGGCCAGGAGCTTCCACAAAAAGGGAACCCGAAGTTGCTCTGCGTATTTAGAGGAAGTAACCGAGGGTCTGCTTCCCGCCGGGATACTGCAGGAGGTGTCTGAGACCTTTTGTCTGATACCTCCCTAAGTCGTAACGGATGAACACGAAAGAGTCGAGCTAGAGTACAGCTGCAACGGCTAGAACTGATCTTAGTGAAAGACACTTCACTTTGAGCTGCAGCAACAAACGACGCAAGAAAATGCAGTTCTAGGATTGGCTACATGTGAAGCCACAGCGCTTGATTCAAAGCTCAGGGCTGCGTGGAATGATGTTGGCTGGACCTCCCCGGCCCCCTTTCTGCTGGTTCATCCTCTTCGACCCTAACCAGACTCCATTATCAGATGGTCTACTAAATCATTTAGTCCAGTCTTTGAGCTATGACTTACTGTGTGCTTACTATGGGGGGGGGGGGCACTGTGCTTAGGCTCTTTAAATTTTTATTTAATCTTGACAACACTACTGAGCGGTGTTATTAGCCACGTTTCGTAAGAGGAAAAAAAGTCAAAGAAAGTGTAACTTGCTCACCAAATTGCAAGACAAGTCACTTATGGAAGACAGTGTGCCTCGCGCCTGCAATTGAATAAATAAAAGATGTCGTTAGGTGCCGTACTGACTCATAGCGACCTTATGCACAGCAGAATGAAACACCGCCAGATCCTGGGCCAACCTCACTACTGTTGCCACGCTGGAGTCCATCAATGCAGCCACTTGGCCAATCCATCTCATTGGGGGTCTTCCTCTTTTTCTCTGACCCTCCACCTTACCAAACATGATATCCTTCTCCAGTAACTGGTCCCTCCTGACAATATGTCCGAAGTATGGGACACAAAGTTTGTCCATCTTGGCCTCCAAGGAGCTCTCTGGCTGCCCATGGCACTTTCAAGATTCTCCTCCAACACCATAACTCAAAAGCATCAATTCTTCTATGGACTTCCTTATTCACTGTCCAGCTTTCACATGCATATGAGGTTATTGAAAATACCATAGCTTGGGTCAGATGCACCTTAGTCCTCAAGCTAATATCTTTGCTCTTCAACACTTTAAAATGGTCTTGTGCAGCAGATTTGCCTAATGCAATACGTCCTTTGATTTCTTGACTGCTGTTTCCATGAGTGTTGATACTTGATTCAAAAAGAATGAAGTCCTTGACAACTTCAATCTTTTCTCCAGTGATAAAAATGTTGTTTATTGGTCCTATGGTAAGGATTTTTGTTTTCTTTACATTGAGATGTAATCCATACCGAAGGCTGTGCTCTTTGATCTTCATCAGTAAATGTTTTAAGTCGTCTTCACTTTCAGCAAGCAAGGTTGTATCATCTGCATAGCGCAGGTTGTTAATGAGTCTTCCTCCAATCCTGATGCCACGTTTTTCTTCATAGAACCCAGCTTCTCATATTATTTGCTCAGCATACAGGTTGAATAAGTATGGTGAAAAAATACAACCTTGTTGCACACCATTCTTAATGTTAAACCATTCAGCGTTCCCCTGTTCTGTTCAAACAACTGCCTCTTGGTCCAGGTACAGATTCCTCATGAGAACAATTAAGTGTTCTGGAATACTCATACTTTGCAATGTTATCCATAGCTTGTCATGATCCACACAATCAAAAGCCTTTGCATAGTCAACAAAGCACAAGTAAACATCTTTCTGATATTCTCTGCTTTCAGCCAAGACCCATTAAACATCAGCAATGATATCCCTTGTTCCACAGCCTCTTCTGAATCCGGCATGAACCTCTGGAAGTTCTCGTCAATGTATGCTTGCAGCGGTGTCTGTATTACCTTTAGTAAAACTTTACTCACATGAGATATCAAAGAGATTGTCCGATGATTTCCGCATTCCATTGGGTCACCTCTCTTTGGAATGGGCACAAACACAGATCTCTTCCAATCAGACAGCCAGATAGCTGTTTTCGAAATATCTTGGCAGAGATGAGTGCCTTCTGTAACGTCTCACTTTCTTGAAAGATTTCAATTTTTATTCCATCAATTCCTGGTGCCTTGTTCTTTGCCAATTCCTTCAATGCACCTTGGATTTCCTCCTTCAGTATCATTGGCTCTTGAACATTAACCATTTCCTTTTGGTACAGTGAATCTGTGCATTCCTTCCATCTTCTCTTTTAGCTTTCTGCATCATTCAATAATTTGCCTAGAGAATCTTTCAATAACGAAAGTCAATGCTTGAATTTTTTCTTCAGTTCCCCCAACTTGAGAAGTGCTGATCATGTTCTTCCTTTTTGGTTTTCTGATTCCGGATCTTTGCACATTTTGTTGTAATATTTGGCTTTATCTTCTCAAGCTGACCTTTGAAATTTTCTGTTCAGCTCTTGGAACTCATTTATTCCATTTGCTTTAGCATCTCTATGCTGGAGAGCAAGTTTCAGTGTTTCTTCTGACATCCACTTTGACCTTTTCCTTCTTTCTTGTTGTCTTAATGACTTCTTCATGTATCATGTTCATGATGCCATCCTACAAATCTTCTGGTCTTCAGTCTTATTGTTTAATGTTTAATATCTGTTCTTCAGATGATTTCTAAATTCATTTGGGATACATTCACCTGAATTTATTCTGGCTTTCATGGACTTGTTTTTATTTTCTTCAGCTTCATTTTGAATTTGCATATGAGTAATTGATGGTCTGTTCCACAGTCTGCCCCTGGCCTTGTTTTCACTGATGATATGGAGCTTTTCCATTGTCTCTTTCTGCTGATGTAGTCAATTTGATTTCTATGTATTCCACCTGGTGAGGTCCATGTGTATACTCGTCTCTTATGCTGTCTAAAGAAGGTATTTCAAATGAACAAATCATTGATTTTGCAGAATTCTATCATGCGTTCTCTAGCATCATTTCTATCACCAAGCCCATATTTTCCAACTACTGATCCTTCCTCTTTGCTCCCAACCTTTGCATTCCAATCACCAGTAACGATCAATACATCTTGATTGCATGTTTGATCAATTTCAGATTGAAGAAGTTGGTAAAATTCTTCTATTTCATCCTCACTGGCTTTAGTGGTTGGTGCATAAATTGAATAATAGTGGCTTCCCTGTAGGTGCATGGATATTATCCTATCACAGACAGTGTTGTACCTCATGACTGATCCAGATATGTTCTTTTTGACAATGAATGCAACATCATTCCTCTTCTATTTGTCATTCCCGGCATAGTAAACCATGTGGTTGTCAGATTCAAAGTGGCCAATACCAGTCCATTTCAGCTCACTAATGCCTAAGATATTGATGTTTATGCGTTCCATTTCATTTTTGACAACTTCCAATTTTCCCAGATTCATACTTAATACATTCCATGTTCCAATTGTCAATGGATGTTTACAGCTATTTCTCTTCATTTTGAGTCGTGCTCCATCAGCAAATGAAGGTCCCTCGGGTTTTTCTCCCACATGCTTTACTCCATTCGCACTATCATGGTCAACTCTACTTTGAGGAGGCAGCTCTTCCCCAGTCTCATTTTGAGTGCCTTCCAACCTGAGGGGCTCATTTTCTGGCACTATATCTGACAGTGTTTCTCTGCTATTCATAAGGTTTTCAGTGACTAAATATTTGGAAATAGTTCATCACACCTTCTTCCTAGTCTGTCTTCATCTGGAAGCTCATCTGAAACCTGTCCACCATGGGTGACCCTGCTGGTATTAAAATACCGGTGGCATAGCTTTCAGAATCACAGCAACTCACAAGCCACCACAGTATGACAAACTGACAGACAAGTGGTGGAAATAAAAGATAAGCAGGCTGAAATGGCTGCCCCTCTCACACTTAGATCATCATCCATTCCCTCCATCAGGATGCAGTTTATAGTGATCAGAACAGAAATTTTATTTCTGTCCAGGTTCCAGTAAAATGACTCAGATACCTTCAGAGGATTCTAATTTCAGTTTTTCAAGGCTCCGATGTTTGAAATCTTTGAAGCTAAACAGCTGACCTGAGTCAAGTCATAACTTTTAGTATTAATATCTACCACTTAAGGATGTTGTAAGAATTAGTGGTAATACTCACTAGAAGAGTTAACACTGTGTCTAATTCAGGTTAAGCATTCACTATATGACTACCATGGAGGCTTGTTGTGGTGCTGTGGGCTAAGTGTTACATTGCAAAGTCCTTTGAACTGCAAGGTCAGTGGTTCAAGCTCACCAGCTGCTCCTTGGAAAGCCTATACAGGGTCGCTGTGGTCAGAATTGACTAGATGACACTTAACAACAACAACATATGACTACCACAGTTTTTGATTATATGATGCCTGGAGGGGCAGAATGAGAATCTTCTCTACAGAGGTCTTGCAACCAGGCTTCTTACTGTTTTTAAGTGTAGTCCAGTTGTTGCCAACTCATAGCGACCCTGTGTAAGGTTTCCAAGGAACAGTTGGTGGGTTTGAACTGCCACTCTTGCTTGTAGTTCAAACAGACCTTTCAGTCCAGTGCATTATTCTGCAGCATGTGACCCATTCATTTGTTAAACTGATACTGAACTAACTATGATGTATAAGGATTCCTGGTATGGTGCTGTAGTTTCAGCACTGGTCTGTGAACCACAAGGTCAGCAGTTCTAACCCACCAGCTGCTCCTTGGAAACCCTATGCAGGGTCACTATAAGTTGGAACTGACTCGATGGCACTTTACAACAACAATGTGATGTGTAAAGCTTATTATTAGGTCCTAGGGACAAAAGATGTTTTTGCCATTAAGAAACTCAGTCTTATGGGAAGTATATTTTTAAAATATATTTTAAATCCATCT